GCCCCCTCGCATTAAGTCCACCTATGTGCAACTGGATCGCTATTTTTTCCATTAACAAATAAACAAAGAGATCTACCTACAACCAACAATTATATATTATAATATTTTTTTGTGATGAACTTAATTAAATATTGTATTTTATTTTAAGAACTGTTGAGATTTTCACATTGAATTAACATCCTTAATAACATTATTAGTAATTAATGTACTTAATTATTTAACTACTTAATTTAAAAATCTTAAGTTCGTTTTTCGCGTTTTGTTTCACAACGATTTAACTTTATATTTTTTAAGATTTTTGTTGTAATCCCAGATCAATAATAAAAACTTCAAGATTTTCATAAAAGCTTTCTAGGATTTACTTTATGTAGATAAGTGAAGAGAAAACCTACTTTTACTAGTATTTGCTCCCTTTTAAGCACAAAGGAATGAAATATTTTTTAAACCTATATAAAGAAAACCAATGCTTTTGAAGAACATGTGTTACGAAGTTAAAAAGCAATATAAAAACGTTTACATGTATCGCCATATGTTCAGTATCGGGTGAACTACATATGAAAAGTCTATAGTATTCACCTTGAAAACCTATTTATAAATAAATCTGTGCAGTGGTTTGGAAGATATGACGTAATAAAGAATATTACATGCATACAAGATACCTGCGAAAAATATAACCCTTCCTTGGCAGTCGGGTAAAAAGGATAAAATAATTAAAAAACCCCGACTTAACCAGATTATGTAATGAAGCTTTTTATGTTTATTATCTATAAACATAAAAATCTTTTTTTATAATAGAGTTGATCTCTCGCGAAGTCGATCATATAAACAATGGAGTATCAGTTCATAGCACCTCCTTACGTGACTATTTGTTTCTCGAAGATATACTTAGATGTGGCAATAATAAATAACTTATTCGATTACCTATGAACTTAATAAATAACCAAAGAATATCAGTCAGGGGCAGCCATCTCTATTTCAAAATTTCGACTAAAACGAAGATATCCCGAGATGCATTGTGTCTCCGTAAAACATCTTTAATAATATATTCACGTTACTATAAAACCAATGATGGACAACAAAGTGATCCTATAAGAGCTACGTTTTGACTTTTTGAGGTACGGAACCCTAAAATTAGGTCAATTTGATCTGCACTTTAAACTAATTTTAGATAATCACAGTTCAACCGATACTTTAGACGTCTTTTAAAACATAAGGCGTTCGACGCGCTGTCATAGTTTGTTATTAAAAAAGTTATGGAGTATTGGCATCACTGGGAAAGCATAAAGTATGATCCAGGGCTATTTATCAACAGATTTCAGGTCGTAAAGCTTGAAAACCATCAAATTTCTCAATGCTCGGGCCTTTATGATTCCTAATTTATATCAATAATATCGCCGAATTAAGTTTACACGGACAAATCTCACTATATGATGACACATACTATATGTTCTAATTTGGTCATAATCTCAACGTAATTATACAACAACCTCAAGATGATTTTACTATTTTTCACAAATGGTTCCAATACAACCTCCTAACAATAAATATTTTAAAAACTTCATATATAGTGTTTTATAAAAATAAATGGACTACGTTTTCGCATAGTAGTGTGAAAGCAGTCCACTGGCGCCACTGCGAACATCCCGGACGCACTACAGAAGCGGGGTAGCCCCAACAGCACCCTAAACGCATTGTTGTATTGGATACGGAGGGAGTTGTATGCTTTTCGAGTATATGTAGCCCACAGGCTGCACGTATAGAAAGACGTTCAGTACGCCCTAAAGAGTGTGATCCTAACATTATGTCCACTAACCGATACACTTTTAAACTTAAAGTACGGAAGCTTTATAGAGACTTGTTGACGGAGTCATCAGAATAACATCTTAAGAGTATATTTATTATCATATATAGGTATTAATATATATATTTGGTCATTTATTATGATATTTATATGTATAAACTATATGTATGTATATCTAGTACTTATATATCTGTAGGATTTTTTCTTTTCTGCCATTGTAACATGGCTTAATGCAGTCTCATCTTTACCTGTCCCAAATATACACCTGCCACTCTCAGCTTTGCAACACCCAAAAGGTTTGACTGGAAGAAAATGCCTGAGGCATTAAGTCCGCCTTATGCAATATGTTTGCAGGAAGACTCAATAAATAAATAAACATTATTCGAACAATGTATAAACCTGCGGGTAGTGTCCGACCGAAACTGGTTTTTACGACCGAAACCGAAACCGAAACCGAATTTCGGCAACGGTCTCAGTTTCGGCCGAAACCGAAACCGAAACTTTTTTATAAGGATCATGTTTTCAGAAAAAAATAAAGAAAATGTATTATAATCAGTCAGTTCAGTATACAGTAGGTATCTGTACTTAAATGTTACTTCTTATTAATATTCATAGTTAAACAATCTTATATTATAGGTAAGAAACAATAGTTTATCAACATTTTCGCCTCGCGGATTTCTCCTTCTGTCTGAATAAATTTGTCCAGCAGCAATAAATAATTGTTCACTGGAAACACTCGTTGGTGGAGCTGATAAGTATTTCAGTGCCACCTTTCTCAAAGACAGATATGGACTAGAATCCCAGTAAGAATAAATATCTGCACTTCTCTGTAATCTAGGCTCTGACAAGTATGCCTGAATAGTTTGCTTAATTTGAGTTAAACAATCACTGCTCTCCACACCAGAAGTTTCTATAAAGTTACAAGTAGATTTATCATGGGCGTCCCAAAGCAATTCTGCTTTTTCCGAAGACACTATTCAAGATGAACAAGATGGATGTGGTTCTCCAGAATGATAAACTCACAACAAACAAAATGCACTGCAAACAAGCAGGTTACGACATGATTACGCACGTGGAAGCCGCCAAATGTCATCGTCGCTTGGATGTCATTTACCGCGCCGAACACACCCGAGCACAGCGCGGAAACTCTCGAATGCGGACACTACCTGCGGGTCAACATGTACGCTCTCACCGACAACGCCCTCTGTTCCCTTGCCAGATCCTCATCGTCTTTGAGGCCGGGAGTTAAAATATGCCTTAGATATTTGAACTTAAATACCGTTTTTAATGGTTGACTATTTAAAAATATCTGTGGCATATCCTTCAAAAACCATTACCTCGCTTCTCTTAACATTGTACACCAGGCCATGTCTGTCGGCGTACTTCTCAAGTATGTGAACAAGGCTACGAAGGCTACATGGCGACGCGCTTAGCAGCGTCATGTCGTCTGCGTAGCTGACATTATTGAGACAAATGTCATCAATATGACATCCGACTTTTGCGCTACTAAGCTCACCGATGAGCTCGTTAACGTACATTACGTACGTATTGTGCATCGAGCTTGGCAGCGACTTCAAACAGACTAGAAGGGACTATTGGTATTATTATGTTACCTTTTTCATTAATGTTACTTATTATAGTTTTTTACTTAGATTTGTAATTATTTTTTTAATTTTTAGTGCTCTTTGTCGGTGTTGTTTGAAGTCGGTTCAACTTTTTTTTTAAAAGGGTTTATTTTACCATTTTCAGTGTAGGATATGTTTGTAATGAGTAGATAAGTACGATATATAAAACACTACGTACCGTAATGTATAGTAACAAACTGTAGTTTGTTAGATTATATTAAATATTATATTAAATTACTGCTGGACATAGGCCTCTCCTTAGAAAGGAGGTTTTGGCCTACTATGTAGGACTATCGTTGTATTTATATGACTGGCAATAGAATCGATAATTACAAATTTAAAATCAGATTTTCCGTCCAAAAGATATTTTGTTTTTTAGTTTTCATATAGGTTGTTTGAAGTCGAGTTGTCATTGCTGACAAATTTACTATCAGTCATGGACGTACTATAAATCTTATAATAAAATAGGGATAAGGAGTAATACTGTATTGTTTATAAAATGTGTATAAAATAGCTTCGTATATAACCCATTTTCTATACATATAAACTTAACCCAGGACTTTTTTGTAGATCTTTGTAAGATTACCGACATCACATTAAAAATCTTTTGACATACTATATACCAGTTTTTTTTTTTTTTTTTAACGTGTGGAAATCCCCTCGGACCGTCATCCCGCCGAGGTTTTCGGCGGGGCGGTGTGTCGGACTCCAACCTACTAAAACCACACGGTGTACCCTCTTTGCGCTTCTAGTTTGGGGGGGGTCCAGGTTGTTATCGCCTTCTGGACCCCTCCCAGCGCCGGCCCGCTCCTGGCGCGGGCTCCGTCTCAAAGGACCTCTCTATAGGCGACGTTAATAGTGGGTCGTCTTGTTCACTTCTCAAAGAGAGTTTTTGCTGTAAATTCCCTGGTACTGTGTGCAATTCTCTTGTTTACCTAACTGGAATTGGGGGTGATGATGTAAGGTGTGATACTCAAATTTTAAATGAAGTACAAGTAGGTGAAATAACTCAGACCTTACTCTTTCATGTAGTACCGGATTCTTGCCTATCAGAACCTGTCATCATAGGTAGGGATATCTTAGAAAATGACATTGGCGTCCAAACTGATCAAGATCAGCTTAAATTCTTTTCTAAGAAACAGTCAAATTCTTGTGAGTTGCAACCGAACAAAATAACTTCCGATTCAATTGACACTGATCTCGAAGGTGAAGATAGGGAAGCTTTAATGAGACTACTCAACAAATATGCTCAATATTTTATAGAACCAGTATTAACTCTTCTAGTTGGCACTCCGCCAACTAGAAGAGTTAATACTAGTATGTTAGAAATTAACCTAGTTAACCCACACAAAATTTAAGAGTTTTTTCCAGAACTATTTTAATAAATTAAGTATAAAATTACTTACAAACGAAATGCGATGCCATCCATAGCAGCAAAACGTCTACCCGAATTATTTTAACAAGATAGAATACAAAATTTCAACCTTTTCTTCTTAATACAACGAAAATTACTGTGGTGACATAAATACTGCAAGTTCTCTGCGCATCACATCGCGCAGTCTCTGACGGTTGCCATGGTATGTTTGGCTAAAGAGATACTCGTAGCTAAAACACGTTGTCGGGGCTGTCAAATTCCCAATAATTGTGAGGGTTTCCCTCGATTTCTCTAGGATCCCATCATCAGATCCTGAATTGGTGGTAATGGGACCAATTCGGGAGCATACCCTTTCGATTAAAAAAGAATTTTGAAAATCGGTCCACAATTGACGGAGAAATCGCGGAACAAACATACATAAAAAAAAAATATACAGACGAATTGAGAACCTCCTCTTTTGTGTTTTGGAAGTCGGTTAAAAATACCAAGTTATTTAGTTGTTTCTTCTCACAGTAAAATTAAAAAAATGTAGTTACACGATATTATAGGAACAAAACCGACTCGAAACATAATAATTTTATAAATAATATGAGCTCAATAGGTGCTCAGAATAGAAGCTCAGAATATTCGTGTGGTGATAGATTAAACCCTTATTCATCCCGAGGGTGTCGTAAGGTCCGACTAAGGGATTACAAACAAACTACAGGCTACAAACTACGCAGGACAATAGCACTGCAAAGAGAAGGAAAACTTGAAACAAACCCAAAACCAACCCGCCTGGCCAGCGCGGGTTATAGTAAGCCAAAACGGGGAGAGCAATGCCTCGGCAAAAATGATCCGTCTCGACTTGTGCGTCACGTGTCATACGTTGAGTATAAAAACAGGTTAACGGTTTCTGTGTCACATTTTCAATTGAGCCAGTCTTCAGTTATGTTGTGGTTTTTATCAATAGTTGTGATAATATTACTAGTCGTTAGGCGATGGAAAATACAGAAATTCGTAAACGTGTCCAAAGAATTAAAATGTGGAATCAAAAGTTACCCGCTGATAGGGCACGCACATTTGTTAGCTGGAGGTGGTGTCAGTAAGTAGCACAAGAATAAGTACAAATATAGCTTTAGACTATTTTGTTTAGTTCTGAACATTAAGTAAGTACATTATTTTCATGACCATAATGTTCACTTTAAAGACACATAATCAACAATCTGTAGCCACCTTGTCAGTTCCTAGACATTTTGTTTGGCTTTCAAACTGGTATAGAAACTGCAGTAACTTATATACGATGACAAATAGTACAACTCTAGGGTTACTAATAAAAAATGCAGTCAATGTGCGTTAATAAAGAAAACAGTATCATTATATACTTTCTTATACAAGCAGCCCGCCCCGACTTCGCACGGGTATAATTCCGTGAGAATGTTTTATATTTAATTATTTAGAGCTCCTCTGTAAACGACTTTTGATGTTATATTAATATAGGGTAATAAAATATATTGTTTTTCATAACATACAGTTGGCCATGAGTAAAACACACTTTTCGTAAGTCTATCCCTACTAAGTCGAAAGTTTGGCCTTGGGACTTATAAAATGTTAAAGCGAACGATGTGAGCACAGGAAATTGAAGACGTTTAAAGGGTTTTGGCATATCGGTAGGGATCATAGGTATCCGTGTCATGTGCGCTAAATATCCCGCTGCTGGGCCAGTGATTAAGGTCTCTCAATTCCTTTATAAGAAGTCTCGTGCCATTGCACATGCTAGGAGGGATTAAATTTCGTAATAGCATTATAGGTGTTCTAATGTTTAGCGTTAATTCATGTGGCGGGAGTCCAGACTGGTTAAGACCATTTTGCAATTCCCGTGGGCAATGTACTGTGTCTTCGATGTTAGAAACGGTGTCTATTGATTTATATGTTTTGACCGGGCCGGGGACTTTGTGTAAAATTAAATTATTTATTTGGTTGATAGTATTATTTCATTGACAGACACTATTGCTCTAGAACAAAGGGCACAACAGCATTTGGTAAACTTTGCGTACACAGTATTTTTTAATTCCACAACATATTCTTAATAATTTTAGTTTGAAATTTAAAAACTGTTATTTAACGTAAATACGTAAATTAGTATTTGATAATAGACTAAAGGTAGGACAGTTTGTTCAAACCGTGAATTATTTCTTAATAGAGACTTTTTATATCTGTCATAACGTCAAAAAAACGTCAAAAAAAATCGATTTGAACAATTTAAAGTCGCCTAAATAAAGAATTGTACTCAGGCGCTAGGAGGGTCCGGATGTCATAATACTAGCTGCTCCCAGATCCCTCCCATTTCAGACGTAGAGTTAAAAAAATGGGTTCTTAAGTTCTCGCTTACATATTAATCATCGCGAGAACATTTGTAGTTCTTCCGTACTTCGGTGTATCTTTGTTACATAGTTTTGAAATATGTTTGTTATTATGTATGTCTAGTCGTCACAATACTTTAAAGGTTTATTATCTATGTTAATCCATTAGGTATGTGATCCTTCTGCTATGACTTTATCTTTTCTATTTTAATACTACTACTATACTACTCCTATGCAGAAAATTTATCATATCCCATCACTTTAAGATGCACACATAGATTAACTCAATTTTAATTAAATTTATTTTAATATTGAAGTCATAACGAATTAACCCTAGAATACCAATCTGAGTCTTTTTTACTCGCACCGCTCGGAGGCGGTGCTGATAAATCCAGGCAAGGGCAAGTCATCTGGTGAAGTTTTGAGGGCTCTACGCTCGGGGTTGCAACCGGAGGATTTAGGCTTAGTGGTAAGGGCCGTGTGGACTCCCAGAAAAGGTGGTCTTCTTATTGAGTTCGACGGATCTGTTAAAGATCGCTCAAAACTCTGCAAAAGAGTCACTGAAGCTGCCGGAAGTGAAGTAGGGGTGCGCCATCTTGTCAGTACCACTACGGTGGTTATAGAGGGGTGGGACGCCGCCAGAACGGTCGAAGAAGTCAAGGAGGCAGTAAGGAAGGATATTAGTGAAGGTGTAGACGGGCTCAAACTATCAATCACGCAAGCTAACAAATGGGGACTCGATACCGCTGCGACTTTAGAGGCCTTGGGAAAGATTAAGTTCGGTTGGTAGATCTGCTGAATCCGCCGTTGGGAGCGACTGGACTGGTACTACCGATGCTGGGTCACTTGCGAGCTCGTGCAGAGCAGAGGAAGACTGAAGAGGACCGAAAAATACCATGCAGTGTCTGGACCAGATTGGCTCTGTAACTCTTCTAGGACAGCTTCAATTTCGGCTCGGGGGAAGGCATTGTATGGGTAGTAACGCCAGCAGTTACTTTCTTGTCGTGTTATTTCACCCTTTTTTTTTTTATGTGTGGAAATCCCCTCGGACCGTCACCCCGCCGGGGTTCTCTGTTCGGCGGGGCGGTGTGTCGGACTCGAACCGACTTAAACCACACGGTGTGCCCTCTTTGCGCTTCTATTTTAGAGGGGATCCAGGTAGTTATCTCCTTCTGGACCCCTCTCAGCGCCGGCCCGCTCCTGGTGCGGGCTCCGTCTCGGATTATCCTCTCTTTAAGCGTCGTCCGGAGCACGCGGACGCCACCCCCTCGCGGCTGGCCAAACTAATGCGGGTGAAGGGGAAAACCCATCCCGTCCACCCGCGGGCACACTCAGGGCGGCATGAGGCGCAGGTGAGCGCGCCTCGCCGTGGTTCGCCGGCGGCGGATCGGGTCTGAGTGGAGGTCGTCCTCCCGGGCCTTCTCCGCCGCCTCCTTCTGCGAGATTACTTACTGGCAGAAGGTTGCGACCGCGATAAAATAACTGTCGCTACCGGCCGTAGTACGCTCCATGGCCGGTAGCGACAGTTGTTTTCGGCTCGGGGAAAGGCATTGTATGGGTAGTAACGCCAGCAGTTACTTTCTTGTCGTGTTACTTCACCCTTTTTTTTTTGTACGGGTGGAAATCCCCTCGGACCGTCACCCCGCCGGGGTTCTCTGTTCGGCGGGGCGGTGTGTCGGACTCGAACCGACTAAAACCACACGGTGTGCCCTCTTTGCGCTTCTATTTTAGAGGGGATCCAGGTAGTTATCTCCTTCTGGACCCCTCACAGCGCCGGCCCGCTCCTGGTGCGGGCTCCGTCTCTTATTATCCTCTCTTTAGGCGTCGTCCGGAGCACGCGGACGCCGCCCCCTCACGGCTGGCCAAACTAATGCGGGTGGAGGGGAAAACCCATCCCGTCCACTCGCGGCCACACTCAGGGCGGCATGAGGCGCAGGTGAGCGCGCCTCGCCCCGGTTCGCCGGCGGCGGATCGGGTCCGAGTGGAGGTCGTCCTCCCGGGCCTTCTCCGCCGCCTCCTTCTGCGAGATTACTTCCTCGCAGAAGGTTGCGACCGCGGTAAAACAACTGTCGCTACCGGCCGTAGTACGCTCCATGGCCGGTAGCGACAGTTGTTTTACCGCGGTCGCGGAGAGATCCACTCCCATGCCTGCAGTGAGGGCCGGCGCTGCGTCGCCCATGCGGGGCAGACCGCCAGCGTGTGCTGAGCCGAGTCCTCACTGCAGTCGCAGTGGTGGCAGGCGGGACTCAATTCCCTCCTGGCGACCGAGTGCAAGTACTTTCCGAAGCAACCATGCACGGAAAGTACCTGCGTCAGCCGGAAATAAAGGGTCCCGTGCTGCCGCCCTGCCCACTCGGCGATGACCAGCTAGAGAGCCTCCACGGCGGCGAAGCCAGCGCGTGGGGTCTCCAGCCGGTGGCTCGGCGAGCGGCTTCGCGCCACTCGCGCACGTCTTCGGGCGGAGGGTGAAATCCACTCTCCGCCCGGAAGTCAGCCACTCGTCGATAGACTTTGGCGAGCACCTCCGCCTCCAAATCCCACGGGGGTTTTCCGGCCAAGGCGCAAGCCGCCTCGGTAGACACCGTGCGGTATCCGCGTATGGCTCTGATCGCCAATATCCTCTGGGGACGCCAGAGGCGCGCCCTATTCGGGGCGGTCAGAGCCGCCACCCACACCGGTGCACCATACAACGCTATGGATCGGACAACCCCCGCGTACAGCCGCCTCGTGGGAACACTGCCCCCGCCCAAATTTGGGCAAAAGTCGCCCTAGGGCGGAGGCAGTGTCCACCAACTTTGGATCAAGCTGTCGGAGGTGCTCGTCGAAGAGCCACCTACCGTCTAGGACCAGACCCAGGTACCTCATCTGGGCCCGGACCGGTACGAGGACCGAGCCGACCTCGATTGAGGCGATTGCAATTTCTCTAAAAAACTCGCACGTGTCGATGTTTTTTGTAGTAGTATAAATTAAACATTTTTGACTATTATCTTATCGAAGCAATTCTTTGTTTTCATATGTGTGTTAATTCATTTTGTTTTCAGATCGCATGACAGTAATAAAAAAATTTACCCGTGATGCTCTAAAGAACGGAGGACTTTCATATATATGGATCGGATCAAATTTTTACGTAGGTATGTCTCTTTTTAATATGCGTTTGTCTACCCCTTCGGGGATGTCGGTATTGGTATGGGTTCTGATTGCCGCGTTTAGACTTAAAAAACGATCCTTAATGCGTGTGGGCATCATTAGCTAGGTGAGCCAACCAAGCTTTCGCAAGCTTCTACGAGCACCTTTGGATCTGCTATGACAGTAGCCTGCTGTGTGCCCACTCCCTTGCATTCCAAGCTTTACGATTATTATGCCTTCACATTTCACTGCAAAGGGAGCAGAATATACCATATTATGTTTGTATGCTTGTCTTAAAAGTTGGTTAGTGACCCTGATTTTTAAGCCGGAGGACGTGAGTTCGATTCCCACTCAAGACAAATAATTGTGTGACGAGCGTCGTACGATAGGTGAAATTTATGAATTTAGAATTATTTAAGTAGGTTTATAAGATGTCTGGTTACCATAGCACAAGCTCTATCTAATTTGGAACCAGACGCCTGTGTGTGAGACGGGTGAAGGTATTGTTATTGTAATAAACATGTTCAAACAGGTTCAGTGGATGCCGCCGATTTGGAAGTAATTTTAAAAAAATGTTTAGAAAAGGACAACATTCTGCGCTTTGTAAGAAAAGTAATTGGAAATGGGCTTATATTTGCAACAGGTATGCTATGTTATGATTATGACCTAGAATTAAGAAAGGCTCAAAAAATCCAAATCACATCACATCACATCCACAGCCTTTAATAGTCCACTGCTGGACATAAGCCGCTCCTTAGAAAGCAGGTTTATATACAGAGAGTTTCATTTCCTATCCCAAATACTTAAGCCACATATTCTGCCCTTAATTTCTAGGCGATTTGCAAAATATGAACAAAATATATCCAGTAGTTTAGCCACAGGACTCATTTTTGTGTTTCGTAAATTGCAACATCATGTGTACATGCAGTCATAATACATTGACCTCAGGCGGCGATCAGCTGTAGGTATAATCACACGTTGCCGCTTTTACTACACCCGAATCGAACGAAATATGTTGATTATTACGTCATCACGATGCAACACGCGTTTTTAATTAGTTCATCCAGTAAGGACAGTCAGTCGGCCCTTGGCCACCGGCGAGCTTATGCTATTCCGTATCCTTGTAGATGCGCTCACGACAAATAACCGTAATAATAATATTGTTGTTGTTTATGAGATACATATTTGCTTAGAGAAGTTTTCTTGTGGTAATAATTGTTTAGTCTTATTGCTTTCGTCATAATACACGGCAATGGTGTGAACAATTAATGTTATCGTGTGCGCAAGACTTCGTAATGTAAGGAGTCCTGCTAATTTTATTTTGAAAAGTCACTATTAGGTTCTGTTTGTAGTGTAGTGTGAAACTGAGTGCATTATCAGTCTTTTAATTTTATTGGGTTATCGATATCAACATCCATAATGCCGTGAGTGACCTTCACAGCGGCGGAATATCCTGCTATGATGTTAATTTATGGAAAACTCTATCAAAACGCATCTTTTGCTTTACGGACACGTATGGAGTCAATCGTGTATGTCCTACAGACTGCCGAATTTTTGTAAGGGCGGTACAAAGATTACGAGACAACCAAGGTAACTACTTTTTCAAGGAGTGACGCGTACTGCTGGGTCGGAAGCTAGTCGAGCATTCACGAAATAAACACGTGAATAAAATCGCATTCTTTATAAATAGATTTTTAAAAGCAAGTGAAGTGATTGGTAGGTAGGTAATAAGAATGTAAAGTTCGGCGGCGGCGGCGGCGTCGTTTTGATGTCGCCGACATTGCGACGCTGCCGTGTAGGTACAGTTCACCGACTCATGTTATCAATGGTGTTCTAATTCGGAAATTATTTTATTGTATTTAGTTTGTTCTAAATTTGCATTTCTGTATTTTCGTACTAATTTTTTATTTTTTTATTTTAACCGACGTATATTGAACCGTGTTATCTGTTATTTCATTTTTTGTGATATCTATACCGCCACAGTGTATACCAAATACTGAAACAAAATTGACTTATTTAATTACATTACCTTTTGTTTTCGTTTATTGACCTCAAACGCTAAGTATTTTAATAATGTGACTTTATAAGTTACATTATACTCGTACTAAGCCACTCGCTTAAACCACTAAGCTTTTATGCGAGAATTAAAACAAGATAAAAAAAAGGCACAGGTGCGAGTCGGACTGGTGCACAAAGGGTTCCGTACCATTGTCTATAAAAACGGCAAAACAATCATGTCTGTTGTATGGGGGCCCCACTTAAATATTTATTTTATTCTGTTTTTAGTATTTGTTGTTATAGCGGCAACAGAAATACATCATATGTGAAAATTTCAAGTGTCTAACTATCACGGTTTATGAGATACAGCCTGGTGACAGACAGACAGACAGACGGACTTCGGACGGAGAGTCTTAGTAATAGGGTCCCGTTTTACCCTTTGGGTACGGAACTCTAAAAACTGTCAAAAAAGATATTAAGATTATAATCGTAGGTAGGTACGCAGCACATGCACACATACACGCGCGTATATACACAAGGTTGTATATATATGTTGTGTTCCACATTATATCAGTTTCAACCAAAACCATTTAAAAAAAGCCGTGTGGTGTCGTGGGACACCCGATAGGAACGAAGTTGTGACGATCGAGAAAAACTGATTCGACACGATTTTAATTACAACGCCATCTATGAAAGCGGCTATTACCTACATATTTTTCAGTTGGTTTCTAATTAAAACAATTTATACATTGGTAAAATCTCCTTGAGAAATGATGTCGAATACAATATTTTTTGCTCAACCTAAGAACATAAATTTTAATTTTACTGAGATGAAAATGATTTCCTATCTATTCGATAGATGGCGCTGAATGACTGACAAGTGACAATTCAAAATAAAAAGTGTCGTTACTTTTCGTGAGAATTTTTTCCCCCTTTCACAACGCGCGATAAGGAACTTCGTTCCAATATTAGGTAGTAGGTATCGACATGTTCTATTTCCATATAAATTGTTAAAATTTAGCAAATAATATTTCTTTAAATACAACAGCTGTCTTGTTAATTACTTAATTGCTTTTACGTGTTTGTTTACATCGCTGGTCTGTTTAGAACTTACCTTAGAACCTAAAATGTTAAACCCTCGTCTTTGTCTGATTATAATCAGACAGTGAACACCTGAGCCGATCATTATCGGCCTGTACCTATTTTACCTTTTCTATACAAAGTCTTCGAACGGCTTATCTCTTTCAATTGAGTCCCTTACTTTCCAAGAATCCTTGCCTGAACCCCTTCCAATCTGGCTTTCGTCCAGGTTTCGCCTATTCACTTGCGACGTAATCAGCGTGCACTTGTTTCTCTATTTTCGTTTATCAGCTCACCGTCCCCACCTACATAGACCTATAAATTAGAATTCTTAAAAAAATCGTCGCCCTAAGTATTAAAATTAAATATGAATGCAACGAATGTAAACTTTTAAAAAAAACAACCAACCAAAATGACTTATAATCTCATTAAAGACCAATTTTTCAACACTAACATCCTTCATAAAATACCTCATAATAAACTAACGCGACAAAAAACTAACAAGAACTTTATTACAATTAGTGCAACTAACGTCTAAGGTGAAATAACTTCTCAGTATATAATTCCTCGGCTAATTAATAACCTCGATCCATTATTTGTGCAAAGCATTACAAAACGTAATATCACATTAAAAGCTTATTTGTTGAGCAACCTGTAGATTAGTGCAGATACTTGTTTCCAGACCGGTTTCTTTATTTCTTTTATATTTATGTATACCATTCCGGACGAATCCATAGTGGTTTTTGGAAAGCTTATTGTAAAACATTGTATTCTTTCGGTGAAATAAATAAGTAAAAAAACACTTATCTTTGATTAGTAGATAGGTACCGAAAGTAGGAACTTTAGTTACCTATTCACTTATCATGACAGAAATCTTCGCTCGCTTAATAATCTGGTTCTCCTATGCAACACCAATTTCGTAACTGTTTTTCATAATAATAATATTTATGTCATGCACAAAAACTTAAATTATACAATTTGTGACACACTTGAGGGTATAGTTTATTAGCCTATTCTTCATAAGGTCAATAAGATCAGGTGAAGTCAAAAGGCCATGAACGGGTCAAACTTAATTCCAATCAAAAGTAGCACACTCTACTTACTGTATTTTGATCCTTCAGTACCAATCTGGAGACCACGTCGCAAGATCAGCGCACCTACCTTCAGCCAAGCCAACCTGAACATGTTTGCGAAAGCATTCGCTGAACAAAGTGAGAGTATGGTGAAGCAAGTGAAGTCAACCTTCGGCGACGGAGCGAAACCTTTGTGGAAGTACATGGCTACCTTCACCTTTCACTCTGTCTGTGGTTGGTAAACACTGTTCTTTCATCGTTTTTGATAAAACATTCGTTCTCAATAAATAAGTGGGTGAACTAAACCTGAGAGTTCGATTTAAAAATGTGAAGTGGATACGAAAAGTGCCAACTTGTAATGAAGTTATAGGATGAACAGGAATTTTGTTTTGTGAATGTTGCCATTCGGTATGCGAAACATTGTTGGGCCTCCGGTAACCTAATTCACTCGGTAAAAAACCAGACAAGAAATTGCCTCGGTATCACTACGGCATAATATGTAAGGAAAATGTATGGGCCGGCCGTCCCTTTAGTCCTAGATTTCCTAAAAAACATATTTTCTTTGAACAATACACATCCCTTCAGAAACCTAAGTGCGAAAACATCGGCACGGCATGGCACTTTGACGTTTCTAGATATGATTAAGGCTAGTGTGGCCCATACTGAAATAGGAGCATAAACTTCTTATTTGTGGTATTATTTCTCGGGTCGTATTCCGGTATCTAGTGTATTCTTAATCGAAGTCTTCACTGTATCATTAAAATTAATAATTTTGTATTTTTTTCTTTTTTACAGAAACAGCACTTGGTGTAAAATTGAAAGTGAATGGAAATACGGAAAAGCAACTAATGGAATCCTTTGACATTCTTCTTAAACTGCTGATGACACGTATGGCGGAGCCCTGGTTGCAACTGGATGCGCTGTACAAGCTATTACCACAACACAGCAATTTTGAGAAAAATAAAGACATTTTACGTAGTTTTGTCAGTGAGGTAATGTGTCAAGTATCATATTTCTGGACTCAATGCAAATTAAAAGATACCTATAGTAATCGTAAATCTAGAGTCCGTAACGTAACTTTCATAGCATGTACCACTTTAGCATCAACATTTTTTGGAATGGACAAGAAATAACCTATACTGATCTGACTCTAACACTTAACGCAGTTTGCGCGCTAAGCGTAGCGAGGCTTCTGTTAAAACTTGTTCGTTCTACCTACAGCCTGTTGTATTGTTACAGCGGCCGTTGTTCGTGGCTTTAGCCAAAAGCGAAGTCGGTGTCCTTTCTTAGCAGCTTCTCTTTGATAATTAAAATCGTTTACAATGTCTTATAATTACTTAAGTATGAAAGATATTAACCTTTATAACGGTATATCATACCATTCACACAGTAGCCATGTCTCAGCTATCTCATTTTGTAAAAAGAATTGCATATTAAATTTCCATCTTCCTGCATATAAACTAAACTAGATCATAAAAAATTTAAGTGAGGGTCATATAAATGTTTACAGATTTGCAATTACGGTTTAAGATTTACATGAAATTATAATTCGTTCTGTTATTTACAATAGGAGATACAGATAGAGTAAATTTTTCGTTCGTTTTATAATTTATATTAATATTAGTGTATATCAAAGGCAATGCTTTTTTTTCCGTGTTTCATCTGCTTAAGTTTTAATGTGGTAATGTTTTATCCAACTTTTTATTTCAGATAATCAAAGAAAAGCGTAAAAAAATTAAAGAAAATATTAAAACTGACAATGGTAAGTATACTCCATAACTATGAAGAAAAAACTAGTAAATGTATTGAGTTGTAGGTAAATCGTCTCTACTCGTTTGTCCCTTATATAAAAAAAGTATGTGTGTATGCAATTCACAAACGGCAGAAGTGAAAAAGTTTTTTTTTATCTCAGAAAAACCCTATAAAATTTTGCCCAGCCCGGGAATAGAACCCACTTAGGCATCGTTTTTCAAATTCCACCCGAATGAAGTCGCGGGTACCAACTATTATTAAATAAATATATAAAAATATTCACACTGTCAAAATATTATATTAATAATAATATGTAATGTATTCTATCTCATTCTCTCGCCGACTTAATCCTATACATTTATGTGTTTGTTTCTTTATCGTGACACATTTTCGTATATATAGATCTATATATATATATCTTTATATATATAATTCTTCTGTGAGTGTGTATGTCACTGAACTTCTCTCAAACGACTGGACCGATTTTGATGAAATTTTTTGTGTGAGGATCTGGGAATGGTTTAGATTCACAATTTTGAATGGTAAGGGTGACCCATCCCTAATTTTTTTTTTGTTGCAATACAACGTTTGCTGGATCAGTTAGTATATATATATATATATATATATATATATATAGATATGTTGAAAGAAACTGTCATAATTAGCAGCCCTTAAAAAATAATTCCTGTGTTTAATTTTGTTATTAAATATAATTATAAATGTTGACATTCAATCCTTTTACTCGATATCGTTGATTACGATATTAACATTTTCACTTGTTATATAAATTTACAAGAACACAGATTGTTAATTTATATTATCCAAACAGATGACACCAAAGTTACAAAGAGCTTTCTGGAACTCTACATAGAATCATCTGGCGGCGATCGTGGCTGTACCGACGAGGAGCTACTTGAAGAAACTCTTGTCATGCTGTTAGCTGGTACCGATACTTCTGCTGTCGGATTATGTTTTACTATTTGTATGTTGGCTCAGTACCCTGATGTGCAAGAAAAAGTGTTCCAGGAGTAAGTTGAGCCATTACAGAAATCTGTTCATGAGTTTTGTATATTAGGTCACCTGGTTAAAAAGTCGTTTGAATTTTGGTTGCCATTACCATCCGTTTTAATTAGTTTTGGAAACCAAAACTTACGTAGTATACTTAAATAGTTTTAAGATTACATTAAAATTATTTTGAAGGTTACAAGAAGTGTTTGGTGATTCAGAGAGACAAGTAGTCGTCGAAGACTTGCCACGTCTCAAATATTTAGAAGCTGTGCTCCGAGAGAGTCTACGTTTGTATCCACCAGTGCCTCTAATTGTAAGAGAGATCAATGAAGATATAAAACTGCGTAAGTTCATTATGAATATGGTATTTAACGAATGAGGGATTGAGAATGTTCAGGAATTTTATAAATAGATGTTTGTGCAATAAATCATTAACTCAAACGGAGCAAATCATTAGCTGTTTTAAATAAAAAGTCTGACTAATATTGGGATTCATTTAATAACTCAAAATTTTAAGCTTTCAACAACAGTTCTTTTACTCGGATTTTGTCATTAAACTCGACTTGACATTTTACGGCTACTGGTGTTAGTTATCTTTTACTAAATTTCCTCTTTAATAAATATTTATATTAGCAGACTGAAGTAAACAATTCATAAATAAATTATGTTTTTTTTTAATAATCTAAAATATAATTAGTTGTTAATTAAAATTCTAATTCTATTGGTTTCTCAAACTGTCTATGAGGATTCCCAATCATTAAAACTGTTATTTCTAAATTTAGCATCGGGCGTAACTTTGAAAAAAGGATGTGGCTTTATGGCACTTATTTGGGGCTTACATCGCAATCCTTTGTATTGGGGAGAAGACGCAGAGAAGTTCCGGCCTGAACGTTTTCTTGAAGGACATTCGAGGCATCCAGCTGCCTTTTTAACGTTTAGCCACGGACCTAGAAACTGTTTAGGTGAGTAACACTATAAGATTATTATCCTTAAGTGTTTAACCCGCCAATATTATTCGTTATAAGAATCCAAAATAAAGGCAAGACTTCCCCTCTGTTTAAACGCTTTCCAAATGGATAGTTGCTTAACGTAGTAAATACTAATCTATATTTTTGGTACTGCATTGATTTTCAATTTTATAAAGCGTTTCAAAATGGATATTAGACCAATCAGTGAACGCGACTAAGTGATGAAATCGCTAATGTAACTTTTATTAATGTAAACGTTATTTATGTTACAGGATACCAATATTCCATGATTTCATTGAAAATAGCACTTGCAACATTTCTGAGAACCTACCGCGTACTGCCCAGACATGACAACAGCGGCAGCGGCGAAGTGGACCAGGAACCGATGAAACTTTCCTATGATATCATGTTGAAGGATGTTGACGGATTCCGAGTAAGATTAGTCGAAAGGAAGAATGACGAAGTATTTTAAACTGTATTTAGCTTTTAATTCTTCAATGATTAAAATGTCTACTCGAGTTTTCTTTTTCAGTCTACATTTTTGTCAGTTTCTTTTGGTCTCTGTGTATTATTAAATTATCCTTTTGGAGAAATATACATGTCGGAGCAAGTACAAACTTCCTCACTTAATAAAAATAATTTGATTAATTTAAATTAGATTCCAATGGATTACAATTATAGTTTTTACAGTTAGTGTTAAGAAATAAGGCGAAGAATCGTATTATCTAAACACAACGAGAAAATACAACACTTAACCTAACAGGTAAACACGTGCTCGAACAATGCGTCCTATAAAAACGAGCTGCATTGCGCATACTCGGTCATTCTCGCTGAAGCCGTCGGGCTGTTCGGATCTACGTACAACTGTTGGTGAGACCTTGGAATACATCTAACTGTATTTACTGTTGCCTTTATTTACTACTGTAGGGATCTATGTACGACTGTGTTTAAGAACTTGGTAGACATCTGTAGTTGTACGTCACTCTATTTAAAAAACAACCCAGACATCGGTCCTCCGTCATACATAATATATTATTTATAAAATAGGTTTCATCTACTGTAGCTTAGTGGATGGAATAAAAATCTTTAATTTTTTTATACATATATATTTAGCTACGAAGTATATTATTAGTTAATGTAATAGTGTTACGTGTAAGGGGTTCGTTGATTTGGAATAATAAATGTTCTGAGTAAAGATACTTTATTATCACTACACTTACAAACGTTCAACAACACTAAAGAATAGTCCGGAATAATCGCCGAGGTCGCTAGGTCACACTTCTATTCGTTTTAATCGTTTCGGTATTCATTGCACTGTAGCTCGGACTGAACTGAACTCATCGAAGACGTGTCCGTATTTATAATACTCGTAAAGGATCATTCTAGCAAATTCCAATCCCTACGAGATCCGTGCGCTTCTGAGAAATAGAAATTCGTTTTAAGATAATAGCGTAACAATATATTTTCGATCTTCTGCGTATTAATATTAAACTCTTTGTTCCGTCCAACCTGCTGATGTCTTAGGAGCCGACTAAAGGAGGACAACACCACTGCAAAGAAAGGAGAATTTGACACAAACCTTATACCAACCTGTGTGGCCAGCGTGATATAGTAGGCCAAAACCTCCTTTCTAAGAATAAAATAAATAAATAACAATATTTCGGACATCTGTCCCACAACGCCATCTAGTTTCAAACTGAGCAGAGCTTGTACAATGAAAACTAGATTGACTTATAGAATACATATATACTTTTTTTGTAAATAAATACATGTTATACATAGAGAAAAACCCAAACTCCGAAACAAATATTTACATATCATAAAGATCACAGCCGACCCGGGGAATCGAACCCGAGACCTCATCGCAGCAGTCTCATACACTACCACTGCACCACCGAGGCAGTCTGAAGATGCTTATGTCCAGCAGTGGACTACTGAAGGCTGTTGATATGATGTGATGTAGTAAGTTACTGACAGCCATTATCTGTCTTGTCGTTTTTTAGTTATCGACGTCAACCGTTAAGTCACGCGTGTTGGCTTTAGCTGACACAGGAACTTCACATACGTATACATATCCGTATTATTATTACTAATGATCCGTATTCGTATCGGTTAGGTTTAAAGCTACAGGTACATCGTGACTTTCACAAGTTATGTTTCAAAGGCTAGGGTTGTTCGCGGTGAATCAACGCACACGATGTGGCTCGGTAATCTCTGTCTGCATACTTCGGGCTTGTTCGGCAGACGACGGCGCGGCACGAGCTGCGCGCGGGCGGGAGGCGGCCGATGGATATATCAGTGCGGGCGCCGCGGCTCGCTCACCCCTCAACGAGATGGCGCTGATCAGCGACTGATCCGAAAAAAGTATCACTGCATCATGGTTTCATAGAACCACACCACACCTTTTTTATGTTAAGCTAATAATTTATTAGAAGTGGGGAGAACGAAGTATCGATACTTTTAGAAAGTATCGATAACTCAAAAGTATCGTAACAAAAAAATCGATTCCTAAAGTACTTGGTATCGAAACAAAAGTCGAAAAAAACGTCGACGAATAATAAAACAACAACACATTGATAACAATTCATCTTTATTGCTATGTAAAAAGTAGGCACGTATTGATGTTCAAGAAAATGTATACAATCATTGTTTAATAATATAATTAGTTCATTAGAAAAGTCAAGCTCTTGTTTTATTTATTTTCTCTAGTGTTTATGGAAAGTGGATATACTTTCTCTGTGATGGAGTTTATGCCTGGCTTTACAATTGGAATATGAATATTTGTTCTTTCCACTGATTGGGGACTGAACTATTTTCATAACAAAAGTTAATAATTTTTAGAATATATTCCCTTGCTTCGCTACCAAAGTGGGTAAGGTATGGTATTCTGTCAATCCCAGGAGCTGAGTCATGGACATGATCAAGCACCATATTTAGTTTCCGAGGGGAGAATGACAGATCAGATGTTTCTAAACTAAAGTTGACTGGCACACTCACTCTCTTCTATAGTGGTACATAAGAAGGAGCTATTTTACCAAAAAACAGATCAGCTGTCTTGCGATTTATAGAAGATGAGGTCTTGGGAGTGCATCCTGATCTAAACCTATTTATGCTACCGCGATTAGGATTGTGGAGGAACGGGTGTCATGTCGGTCCAACACAAAGGGAGGATCCTCCGACCAGGCGAGGTGATCATGCCTGGCGGGCCGCGGCCCAACGGTTGATGTTGGGAAGCTGTATATATGCTAATCGGCGAGGGAATTCTTTATATCGCGATACAGGATTAGCAATTCTTATTTTAGTAGTTACTCCGTACTTCGATGTGTCTTCATTAGATGGCGCTGTAGTATGTTTCTGTGGGAGTCGCCACATCACTCCCCTCCAAAGTTAAGACATGGTTGTAGCCAAGTCTCTGTGATAGAGCGCTTGCTCTATCACAGAGTCCAGCCAAGCGCCTGTTGCTTAACAGGCGCATATTTATTTAAGAGGAATGTACGGTCATGCTTCTTATGAAAAACGCTCCTCACATTCTCTGTGTGTGTGTGTGTGGAGTCATTTTTAAAATTGAGTAGGAGTTTTATAATTTTCTCAGCAACGTTCAATTAAGAATATTAGGAGACGTAAAGGATTTTGCAATTAACAGTGCAATAATTGGTGGTGTTATTAAATTGGGAATTGGTTGGATATTTGTGACTGATAATGGCAAAACCATCTTCTCCACGACATAGCATCAAAGGATATTCTAAGCTGTCATAAGATCTGTGTAACTCTGTTTTTTTTTTTTGCAAATTATCCTTACGACTATGCAACACAATATTGTCAAATTGCTGTCCAGCTATTACCACTGCTACTTCACTCGTAGAAGACGCATTATATCGTTCTCTGTGTTCTCCAACAGGAACTTTATTTGCATAGATTACGACATTAAAGTCAGGAGCATCTACTGGAACACTCTCAATTGCAGTCTTAAAAGACTTTATATAGCAGTTATGAGAATGTAACATATCTTGGAGAGATCTGATCAAATCTCTATCAATTGCCTGTGCGACACTTGAACACCGCCTTGATGCTTGTGTATCTGGATCTGCAATAAAATAAATTTTGGCAGAAATTTCTGATCATCAGGTCGAAGTGGTAGCAAGCTCCCAGTTAAGTGATACACTTGCCTTTGAATTTTAAATATAGGCATAAAACCACGCTCAAAGACTTGCTTAGTCTTGAAAGAGGTCATTTGAACTGCGTTATTATAACAGTGTATATTGCGTATGAATTTATTGGATGTCGGATGGTCACTCGTAAGGAGTGAAGTGGTTCAGGTGGAGGAAGAATTGCTTCTAATTTTCCTTTCCCTTTTAAGCAACATATTGCTTTTGATTCGTCCTTGAATTTCAATGCCAAGCAATGTTCACACACTACTGGCATGGTTCCTTTTGATACTATACGATCGTCTTTGTAAGGAATCGAAGGATCGTAATTCATGGCAGAATTTTCTTTATTTACCCATAAATTAGTCACTCTCTGGATCTGTGGCTGTTCGGTTGTCCGTTTTGTTTGGTGTTACTATGTGTCTGTGCGAACGATTTTCTGGCTCTCTATATTCGATGTCTATCCCTATCCTGGTTGAGGCGAGCCTCAAGCTCTACAGAAGATTCTCTGGCTCTCTGAACTCTGTCTATCCCGATCCTGGCTCCAGCGAGCCTCACGCTCTACTGAGGATTCTCTTTCTCTCTCAGCTCTATCTCTATCCCGAAGCTGGCTGAGGCGAGCCTTACGTTCCTTTGACGATTCTTCATCTCTTGCTGAACCCACCTCAGATCTACGTTCGAACGATGACGTCTTCCAAGCATGACTTTATAATTTCTGTACAAAATTTACTCAGTTCTTGTTTGAACTCACACCTTAAAACTATTTGTGTCAAGTTTTCCTTCTTTTTGCAGTGCTGATGTCCTGCGTGGTATTGCGCCCTTAGTCGGCTCTTACGACACGCATGGGATGAATTGGGGTAGTGAGATTCCGTATTCTTAATCCTTCACTACACGGACGTAGCGATTTCAAATATAAAATCGCTACGTCATCAGCATTTACTTAATAAAGTTATCTCTTTTCGTTTATAATTGGAGAGATGTGCGATCATTAAGGGACTTTAGGGAGATAACATGTATTCCTGATACTAGGAGTACATGATATTTTAAGTAATATGAGAATTCTGGTAATCATTTAATAAACCATTTTTATTTTAGATCATCACAAAGAAAACTAAAAATTCATATGGTAAAACTGTATTATTTTCATAAATTGTTATAATCATAATGGCATTACAAAACTCTTCGTACAGTAGCTACTTGTGATGTGCTGCATCCGTAGAATTGTGAATCCATAAATATAGATACGAATAGTCTAGAACCAAGAGTACGGATAAAATAGCTAAAGCTAACGCATGACCTTGAAATAACTGTTGAAGTTGAGGACCAAAAACATAACATAATCTTTCGACTTGCAAAGTCCGTGTTTTTTTAATTATTAATGTAACCCACATACCGCAAACATTTCTAGTATGATCTCGTTATAACAATAGTGCTCAATGACTGTTTATAATATAAGTAATAGGAGTATTTCATTTCAGCGGAACGAATCTACTAAAATTTAATAATCTAAAAGATACGTTCAAGATCCGCTTAAGAATTCGCTAGTACAGGTGTTAAAATTAAAGAAACCTATTCTATCCGCCGAACACCAGCAGATGGAACTTGTTTTGTAAATACTTTATCAAAAGGATAATTTAATTACACAGAGAGACCAAAACAAAACTAACAAAAGTGTAAATTAGAAAAATAGACCCGAGGATACTATTTAGTCGTTGAGAAATTAAAAACTAAAATACTTTGTTGTCTTTTCATTCGACCAATCTCACTCGGAAATCATCAACATCCTTCATCGTGATGCCATAGGTAAGTTTCATTGGTTCATGATTCACTTCATCGCTTCCGCTGTTTTTATGGCGGGGGCAGTACGCGGTATTTTCGTAGAAATGTTGCTAGCGCTGTTTTCAGTAAAATCATGGTATATTGGTATCCTGTAAGATTAATAACATTGACATCAATTATGTTTACGATTTTATGTCTTATTTTATTCACTGATTGATCCGGTGCTACGATTATCAACATCAACTTGATACTAAAATCATCAGCCTATCGCAATCCACTGCTGGACATAGGCCGATGATGATGATGACAATGATGATAATAATAATTGGATACTATGTACAATCAATAAGAGAGCGTAGAGTCACAAGTCACAAGTTTAAAATCGCTCAGCGTGCGTAGGAGCGTGCGATGGTAGGTTTATCTCTAGTCGATAAAATTCGAAACGAAAATATTCGACAGGGAACTAGAGTTACCGATCTCGCACAGAGAATCGGTACGCTGAAATGACTATAGGCGGGTCGTGTCTCTGGCACCGATGGTCGCTGGCCGACATGTATTAGAGTAAAAACCGCGATAAGGCAAACGTAGTGTAGGGCGTTATGCGGCCCGGTAGACCTACGAATTAAGATAAGAGGCTGGTAGCTGATAGAAGTAGGCTGCTCGAGATAGTTGGCGCCCCTTGGAGAAAGTCTTCGTTTAGCAGAGGTCGGCGATAGAGTAATGATGATGTGGTTTAGTAGTTAAAGAAAAAGGAAGGGAAAACTTTTCACCATTTTAGACTATTTTTATAAATTGTCAAGTACACACCTAAGGATAATAATATACTGTATTGGTACTCACCTAAACAGTTTCTGGGTCCGAGGCTAAACGATAAGTAGGCAGCTGGATGCCTCGAATATCTTTCAAGAAAACGTTCAGGCCGGAAATGCTCTGCATCTTCTCCCCAATACAAAGGATTGCGATTATTACCCCAGATACTTATCGCAACTCCACAGCCTTTCTTCAAAGTTACGCCCGATGCTAAATTTAGAAATAACAGCTTTAATAATGCATATAAGCAGTTTCAGAAAATAGCACAGTTCAAAATCCAGCTTACTGATAAAATCTAAGTAAGAAAACTATTGTTTGAATATTTAGCTAATATTTACAATATATAAAATATCTATACATTTCGCCACCCTAAATTGAATTATCAAGACATTCTTGTAAAATATAACTTATTAAGGCTGAAGTCTAGACGCAAACTTCAAATGTGTAAGTTTGATTAAAGCGGCATTACTAATTTATACATCACACATCTCACACACGACCATCTGATCCCAAACTAGACAGTGCCTATGCTATGGTAACCAGACTGCTGATAAACATACTTATATATTTTTAAATATTATAGTTAAATTACACGCATACAAAAAACAAATGACTGTGCC